GTGTGTGTGTGTGTGTATTTATGTATGTGTATATGTATGTATGTGTATGTGTGTATCTGTGCATATGTATATGTGTGTGTGTATCTGTGTATGTGTGTATCTGCGTGTGTGTGTGTATGTATATGTATATGTGTGTATGTGTATGTATGTGTATGTATGTGTATGTGTGTATCTGTGCATATGTATGTGTGTGTATGTGTCTGTGTGTGTATCTGTATGTGTGTATCTGTGTGTGTGTGTATGTATATGTATATGTGTGTATGTGTATGTATATGTGTGTATGTGTATGTATGTGTGTGTATGCGTGTATCTGTGCATATGTATGTGTGTGTATGTGTCTGTATCTGTATCTGTGTGTATGTGTGTATCTGTGTGTGTGTGTGTGTGTGTATATGCATGCATGCACCCAACATAGGAACTCCTTAATATATAAAGTGAGTATTAATAGACCTAGATGGGGAGAGAAACTCTGATACAGTAACAGTCGAGAAGTCTGATACCCGCTTTCGGCAATGGACAGATCATGCAGACAGAAAATCAACAAAGAAACAGCAGCATTAAACTGTATCCTATAATGGACTTAACAGAGACATCTGCAGAACATTCTACTCAATAACTGCAGGATACGCATTCTTCTGAGCAGCACATGGAACCATCTCCAGGATATATGGTATCATATGGTAGGCCACAAAACAGGTCTCAACAAATTTTTAAAAATTGAAATCATATCAAGTATTTACTTATTTATCTGAGATGGAGTCTCACTCTGTCACCCAGGCTGGAGTGCAGTGGTGCAGTCCCAGCTCCACCTCCACCTCCCAGGTTCAAGCAGCTCTCCTGCCTCAGCTTCCTGTGTAGCTGGGATTACACACACACTACCACCACACCTGGCTAATTTTTTTGTACTTTTAGTAGAGATGGGGTTTCGCCATGTTGACCAGGCTGGTCTTGAACTCCTGACCTCAAGTGATCCGCCCACCTCGGCCTCCCAAAGTGCTAGGATTACAGGCATGAGCCACTGCACCCAGCCATTCAAGTATCTTTTGTGACTTCAATGCAATGCAACGCAACTAGAAATCAATAAGAACAACAACTTAGGAAACTATACAAATACTTGGAAATTACACAGCATACTCCTGAACAACCAGTTGGTCAATGAAGAATTAAGAAGGAATTAGAAAATTTATTGAGACAAATGACAATGGGAACACAGCCTACCAAAACAGTGGGATACTGCAAAAGTAGTACTAAGAGGGAAGTTAATAGCAATTAACATCTACATCAAAAAAGTAGAAAGATCTCAACCTAATGTTACACCTCAAGAAACTAGAAAACCAGGACAAACAAAACCCAGAATTAGTAGAAGGAAAGAAATAATAAAGATCAGAGCAGAAATAAATGAAATAGAGACTGAAAAAAAAAAAAACAATATAAAAGGTTAACAAAAGAGTTGTTTTTTTAAAAAGATAAAATTAACAAACCTTTAGCTAGACCGAGGGGGAAAAAAGACTCAAAATAAATAAAATCAGAGACAAAAAGGAGACATTGCAACTGACAGCACAGAAATACAAAGAATCACTAGAGGCTGTTATGAGCAACTCTGTGCCAAGAAATTGGAAAACCTAGAAGAAGTGAAGAAATTTCTGGACACATACAGCTTACCGATACTCAATCATGAAGAAATAGAAAACCTGGACAGACCGATAATGAATAATGAGATTGAATCAGTAATAAGTCTCCTGTGAAAGAGAAGCCCAGGGCCTGATGTCGTCACTGCTGAATTCTACCACACCTTTAAGGAAGAACTAATACCAATTCTTCCCAAATTATTCCACAAAATTGAAGGAGAGAGAATTCCTCCATACTCATTCTATGAGGCCAACATTATCCTGGTACCAAAGCTAGAGAGGGACACGAGAGAAAAAACTGCAGGCTAGTACCCCCAATGAGTATAGATGCAGAAATCCTTCACAAAATACTAGCAAACCAAATCTAATCGCTCCACATTAAAAAAAAAAGAAGAAAAAAAAAAATCAGAAGCCAGTGTCAGTGAGGATGGGGAGGAAAGGGAATCCTTATACGCTGCTGGTGGGAATACAAGTCAGTGCAGGCATTAGGCGATGCAGTCCGGAGGTTCCCATCACGCGACACAGTTCGGAGGTTCCCATCACGCGACACAGTCCGGAGGCTCCCATCACGCGACACAGTCCGGAGGCTCCCATCACGCGACACAGTTCGGAGGTTCCCATCATGCAACGTAGTTCGGAGGTTCCTCAAAAAGTTAAAAATAGAACTACCATGTGGGTCAGGCCATCCCGATACTGAGTATATATCCAGAGGAAATGCCATCAGTGTATCAAAGTGGTATCTGTACTCCTCTGTTTATTGCAGTGCTATTCATGATAGCCAAGATATGGAATCAACTTAAATGTCCATCAACAGCTGGGCACGGTGGCTCATGCCTGTAATTCCAGTACTTTGGGAGGCCGAAGTGCACAGACCTCGTGAGGCCAGGAGTCTGAGACTAGTCTGGCCATCATGGCGAAACCCCATCTAAAAACACAAAAATTATCCAGACATGGTGACCTGCGCCTGTCGTCCCAGCTACACGGGAGGCTGAGGCAGGAGAATCGCTTGAACCTGGGAGGCAGAGGTTGCAGTGAGCCAAGATCATGACACTGCACTCCAGCCTGGGCGACAGAGAGTGAGACTCTGTCTTAAAAAAAATGTCCATCAACAGAGTAAAGGCTGAAGATAACCGTATGTGTATACACCGTGGAATACAATTCAGCCTTAATTCTTTCAGTTTTGGCAACATGGGTGAACCTGGAAGATGTTACAGTAAGTGCAATAAGCCAGGCACAGAAAGACAGCTGTCACATGCTATAACTCGTCTAATCTAGAAAGTTGTTCTCGTGGAAGTAGAGAGTGGAATAGTGGTTGCCAGAGGATGAGGAGGGTAGGAGGGAGAAAGGGATGGAGAGAGATTGGTCAGCAGGCCCAAGGTGACAGGTAGGAGGACATTCTGGTGCTCTGTAGCACAGGAAGGCGGGAGAAGGGGATGGAGAGAGATTGGTCAACAGGCCCAAGGTGACAGGTAGGAGGAGTACGTTCTGGTGCTCTGTTGCACAGTAAGACGACGAGGGTTAACAGTGTATGGTGTATTTCAGAACAGCTGGAAGAGAGGTTTTTGAATGTTCTCATCACAGGGAAATGATAACTATTTAAGATGAAGGATATGCTAATTTGTTGCCATCAATGCGCAGTGTATCCATTGTATACTATAAATATGTACTATTATGTGTCAATCAAAATTTTTTTTAAAGGTGACACTAAATACAGTAGCTATGTAAATCAAATTTTTACAAAAGTCGTCTTCTACAGGAGAAAATACCAAATACCAAATATAGATTGTTTGGTGTATCTTAGAATAAAAGCCACATTCTTTTGTAGCTTTGGCACCTCAGGGACACTTTATTGTGAGGAAGGAAAATTCCTCAGCTTTGTCCGGAGGAAATTATAGGTAGATCTGAGTGCTCAAAGTTTCTAAGATGTCAGTGCTTTTTGTATAATTTTGGAATCAAAGCCCTAGGATGATAGAGTACTTAATGTTTGCTTTTGGATTTATCATGATGTTCTTTTTTTTTTTTTGAGACAGAGTCTCACGCGTGTTGCCCAGGCTGGAGTGCAGTGGCGCGATCTCAGCTCACTGCAACCTCCGCTTCCCAGGTCCAAGCGATTCTCCTGTCTCAGTCTCCCGCGTAGCTGGGATTACAGGCGTGTGCCACCACACCCGGCTAATTTTTGTATTTTTTGGTAGAGATGGGGTTTTGCCATGTTGGCCAGGCTGGTTTCGAACTCCTGACCTCAGGTGATCCACCCACCTCAGCCTCCCAAATTGCTGGGATTACAGGCATGAGCCACTGCGCCCAGCCTCATGATGTCCTTTAACAGTTAACCTTGTAAGATCAGTACAGAATGAATCAGAACACAGGTATGCAGAGTCACTTCATGAGTCAGACTGATTCTTAGGCCCGTGAGACCGGATTGTAACCTGTTGGCACATGTGAAAACCGTGTCACTAAGAAATCAGAGGCTAGTTAGCTCTGAGGAAGAGGCATAGGATATGCAGAGTCACTGAGCAAAAGTTGGCAGTCGATTGGCCTCTGCAATGGCCGTTTCTTACGGTATAACCATAAATGACATTTTAGTGACCGCCTTAGTACTACAGTTTCTGTCCTTCACGATGCTGTAGTTAGCGCTTGGAAATGTAGGAAATAAGAAGTCGTTTCTGGCCTTTTTTGTTTGGCAGAAGATGTCTGGTGGATGCCTTCATCTTTTTGTATATTGTGCAGGTACTGTCGTTGTTAAGAAATGGATCTTAGGCTGAGTGCGGTGGATCACATCTGTAATCCCAGCTCTTTACGAGGCTGAAGTGGGAGGATCCCTTGAGACCAGGAGTTAGAGACCACCCTGGGCAACACAGTGAGACCCCATCTCTACAAAAAATTTAAAAATCTTCAGGCTGTGTTGTTGCACATCTGTAGTTCCCAGCTACTCGGGAGGTTGAGGTGGGAGGATCACCCGAACCTGGGAGGTTGAGGCTGCAGTGAGCTGTGATTGTGCCACCGCACTTCAGCCTGGGCGACGGAGTAAGTGTCTCAAAAAATAAAAATGGATGTGAATGGGTTATACGCCTGTAAAGTTAGAGTTATATGCTACTTACGTGAGGATTGGGTGAGATAGTAGATGAAAATCCCCTTACAAAGCGTAACGTACCATTTGAATGTGAGAGTTTTTGCTTTTTGCTTTTTGTCTTTATATTAGTATCATTCACAACTTTGATTCTCTCAGAGTTGAGTTTTACGCCCAAATGAAAATTAATAGGGGAGAGGATGTCAGGATGTGGGGTGGGGTCTCCTCGGCTGAGGCTCTCTTTGATATGATCCAGATCAGGCACAACAAAGGTAACTAACCATTGGTAACTGATGCCCTTGCAGGAGGGAACACTGGCAGTTGCTGGGCCATTTGAAGACTACGGTGGAGGGTTTGGTATCAGCCAGCAGCCCCAACGTCTGGTCTAAGTATGGTGGCTTGGAGCGGCTCTGCAGGGACATGCAGAGCATCCTCTATCACGGGCTTATCCGTGACCAGGTACGCAGAACTCCTGGGTTTACCAGATTGGCCGACTCACTTGTTGAAAAGAAACAGTCAGATTGGCAGGGAGGAGATGGAGGCTACTAGTCTGTGAACTCCTGAGAGCAGCTGTGACTTAATATTTTTTTTAATATACAGAACATTTCACATCGTGTCTGATGGGCCATAGATGTTGATGGAACGAATCAATCACTGGGTAGGACAGCAAATCAGCAGCAAGAGATAAGGTCAACTTAAAAGTTTCCTATTGTTGCTGTAACAAGCAACTACAGACTTAATGGCTTAAAACAACACGGATTTCTCATCTTACAGTTCTTGAGATCGAAGTCCGAAATGAGTTTCACGGGGCTGAAACCAAGGTGTCTGCAGGGCCACACGCCCTCCGGACGCTCCGTGGAGAATCCACCCCCTTGCAGGACCACATGTGCCCTCTGGATGCTCCATGGAGAATCCATTTCCTTGCCTTTTCCAGCTTCTCTAGGTTTCCTGCATTCTTTGGCTCTTGACCACTTTCTCCATCTTCAGAGCCAACAGCACTTTCAGATCTCTCTGCCCCTTTGTTTGTTTGTTTGTTTGTGTTTTGAGACAGGGTCTCGCTCTGTCACCCAGGCTGGAGTGCAGTGATGCAATCATGACTCGCTGCAGCCTCGACCTCCCAGGTTCAAGCAGTCCTCCCACCTCAGCCTCCCAAGTAGCTAGGGCTACAGGCACCCGCCACCACACCCCGCTATTTTTTGTATTTTTTGTAGAGACAGGATTTCGCCATGTTGCCCAGGCCGGTAGTGAATTCCTGGTCTCAAGTGGTCCTGCCTTAGCCTCCCAAAGTGCTGGGATTACAGACCTGAGCCACCGTGCCCAGCCCTCTCTGCTTTCACATCCCTTTCTCTCCTTATGGACCCTTCCTCCCTCCCTCCTCTCCTTATGACCATTCCTCCCTCCCTCCTCTTCCTCCCTCCTCCCTCTTATGACCATTCCTCCCTCCCTCCTCTCTGAACCATTCCTCCCTCCCCTCCTCTCCTTATGACCATTTCCCCCATCCTCTCTTCTTATGACCCCATTCCTCCCTCTCTCCTCTCTCCTTATGACCATTCCTCCCTCCCTCCTCTCCTTATGACCATTCCTCCATCCTCTCCTTATGATTCATTCCTCCATCCTCTCTCTTGCAGGACCATTCCTCCATCTCTTCTCTCCCCTTATGACCATTCCTCCCTCCCTCCTCTCCTTATGGACCATTCCTCCCTCCTCTCCTCTCCTACATCTCTCCCACTCCCTCCCTCTTATTACCTCCTCCTCTTCTCATGATCTCCTCTCCTCCCCTCCTCTCTTATGACCATTCCTCCCTCCTCCTCTCCTTATGACCATTCCCCCTCTCTCCCATATTTACCTTCCTCTCCTTATGACCATTCCTCCATCCTCCTCTCCTTATGACCATCTTCATCCCTCCTCTCCCAGTGGACCATCTCCTCCATCCTCCTGTCCTTATGGTCCATCTTCTCCTCTCCTCTATGACCATTCCTCCATCCCTCCTCTCCTTATGACCATTCCTCCCTCCCTCTCCTTATGACCATTCCTCCCTCCTCTCCTTATGACCATTCCTCCATCCCTCCTCTCCTTATGACCATTCCTCCCTCCTCTCCTTATGACCGTTCCTCCCTCCTCTCCTTATGACCGTTCCTCCCTCCCTCCTCTCCTTATCACCATTCCTCCCTCCCTCCTAAAAGGACTCTTACAGTGACATTGGGCCCACGTGGATCATCCAGTATAATCGCCCCACCTCAAAATCCTTAATTTAATTACACCTGCAAAGTCCCTTTTGTCATCAAAGTAACATTCCCAGGCTCCAGGAATTAGGATGGAGACACCTTGGAGGAGCAGTCTTAGCCCATCACAGCCAGGAAGCTTTTTCTTCTGAGTCTTAGTTTGGTTTTAAAACCATGCTGTCTTTTCAGAAGTGGATAAAGAAAGAAAAACAGCCAAGGCAAAAACATGTTCATTTATTTCTGACTTTCATGCATGAAATGTTTCTACAGAACGAGAAGGTGGCCAGCCACAGTGGCTCCTGCCTCCTGTAATCCCAGCACTTTGGGAGATCGAGTCGGGCAGATCACTTGAGATCAGTTTAAGACCAGCCTGGCCAACGTGGTGAAACTCTGTGTCTACTAAAATTACAAAAATTAGCTGGGTGTGGTGGCACGTGCCTGTAATCCCAGCTACTCAGGTGGCCGAGGCAGGAGAATCGCTTGAACCCGGGAGGTGGAGGCTGCAGCGAGCCAAGATCACACCCCTGCACTCCAGCCTGGGAGACAGAGTGAGACCCTGTCTCAAAAAAAAAAAAAAAGAACGAGAAGGTGAAACTCCACGTGCTCGGTTGCATTAAAAGTACTTTCCTACGGGAATCCTTTTGCCTGGAAGCCAGTGTGTTCCAGTGATAATTAATTGCTTAGGCTTGATAAGATTGGTGTAATTAGAACCAACATCACTTTCCTGAAACAAAATAATCAGTTCTTCCTGTGATTCTTTTTGAATTAGAATTTTCATCTGTTCCCTAAATTTAGACTTTGTTATTACTATCTACTCCAAATTAATAATAGGAAGAAAGAATTAATGTGCTTTCTTGTTGGGATAGTGAGACTTTATCCTCAGAATGTCTGCGAAAACTAGCAGGCACGAAAGCGACTGGAGAAGAAGAGTCAGTAGTGAACTCACGTGACTGCAATAGGCGTCGTTAATAGGTCGTGTGGTTCAGGGGAGAGCCAGGCTGCCTGGATTCGGTGTTCAGCTCCTTCATGTGTTAGCTGTGTAACCTTGGGCAAAATGCTTAACCTCTTCGTGCCTTAGTTTCCTCACCAGTGAAATGAGGTAGCAGCTATCTACCTCTAGGGTGGGTGTGGTATGTAAAGTGTTAAGAGAATAGGAAGAACTCTCCAAGTGTGTGCTACGATGAGGAGGGCGAGGAGGGCGAGGAGGGGCAGGAGGGCGAGGAGGACACAATGACTCATTTAATTTTCCTCCTAGCATCCTAGGACAATCTGAGAACTATTTATAAAATATTGTCATATTTAGAATATCCTTTGAATTTTACTTTATATCAATAAAGTTTATATTTTAAAAATGTAAGCTACAATCAAAATTTAAGCTACAAACTATAATAGTTTGATTGTAGCTTACATTTTTAAAATATAAACTTTATTAATGTTGAATTTCTTTTTCTTTTTTTTTTTTTCAAGATGGAGTCTCACTCTTGTTGCCCGGGCTGTGGTGCAGTGGCACGATCTCAGCTCACCGCAGCCTCTGTCTCCTGGGTTCAAGTGATTCTCCTGCCTCAGCCTCCTGAGTAGCTGGGATTACAGTCACGCACCACCACGCCTGGCTAATTTTGTATTTTTAGTAGAGATGCGGTTTCTCCATGTTGCTCAGACTGGTCTCGAACTTTGGACCTCAGGTGATCCACCTGCCTTGACTTCCCAAAGTGCTGGGATTACAGGCGTGAGCCACCACACCTGGCTGAGTTTGTTTTTCTTTATAACCTCAAAAACTCTAATCAGCTTTGAGTTTTGAAATGAGTAGAATCCAATAATACTTAAAGGTTTCTGCTTTCTCTTTGGCAGTTATTCCATTTGCAGTGTTTTAAATACATTTTGATTCCAGATAAAATTGCCATGTGAGTCATTGGGGTTTGGTATCCTCCTATTTAAAAAAAATCAGACCTCACAGATGCATGCATAATTGTGTGTGCTCACTCACGTCCTCCCCTGTCAGGACCTAGTATAACTACCTGGAACTCTAAGCTCATCTTTCTTTTTTATCAGAATTTATTCTCAGCAATCACATTGGAAAAGAGCTAATCAACTAATTGGTATTAAAGTATGTATACTTGGCTGGGCATGGTGGCTTATGCCTGTAATTCCAGCACTTTGGGAAGTTGAGGCAGGAAGATCACTAGAATTTTGAGACCAGGATTACAAGATCAGCCTGGGCAACACAGCGAGATCCCCATCTCTAAAAAATTTAAAATATTAGCCAGCCATGGTGATGCATGCCTGTAGACTCAGCTACTCAGGAGGCTGAGGTGGGAAAATGGCTTAAGCCTGAGAGGTTGAGGTTGCAGTGAGCTGATTGTGCCACTGTACTCCAGCCTAGAGTGAGACCCTGTCTCAAAAAAAAAAAAAAGCAAACCCAGAAAAACAAAAAGCACCATTCTAGGACTATGGAGGCAACACTGTATCATAGACTGACAAAAGTCTTTGGAATCAGTAAGAACCTAGATCAGTAAGAACCTACTCTGGACTCACTACTCACGTCCATGGAAAATAAAGTGATGTAGTAGTTAAAATTATGGACTTTTGAATCAGACTGCTCACATTTTAACCTCAGCTTCGCCATTAACTGAGTGGTGCTGGACAAATTATATAACTCTTCCGTCTTTGTTTTCTCTTTTTTTTTTTGAGACGGAGTCTCGCTCTGTCGCCCAGGCTGGCGCGCAGTGGTGCGATCTGGGCTCACTGCGAGCTCCACTCCCGGGCTCACGCCATTCTCCTGCCTCAGCCTCCTGAGCAGCTGGGACAACAGGCGCCCGCCACCACGCCCGGCTAATTTTTTTGTGTTTTTAGTAGAGACAGGGGTTCACCGTGTTAGCCAGGATGGCCTCTATCTCCTGACCTCGTGATCCGCCTGCCTCAGCCTCCCAAAGTGCTGGGATTACAGGCGTGAGCCACCGCGCCCGGTCTGGAATTTTTTTGAATGCAATTCTGCCGTATGCCCTTCTCTCTTACTCTGTGTATTTTCCTGAAGCAGTCTCATCCACTCACATTGCACTATCACTCACCCATTGATGACCCCCACCTCAGGCGTCTCTGCCGAACTCTAGATCCAGAACACTAGCTGTCTCCTGTACATTACTGTCTGGCTGTCTTTCAGGCCCGAGCACAACATGACCAAAACTAAACTTATTTTCTCTCATGAGATTGACCTTCTTCTTACTGGCGGCATTGACCTACTCAGTCTCCACGTCAGAAACTTGGGAATCATGCCAGCGTGTTTTACAGAAACTCAGTGCAAGTTTCCCAGGCTGCTGACCAAAATAGCTACCAGATTAGTGGCACTGCCACTCAGTGGGTCAGGTACTTGTGTCCTAATAGCAAATGGATTCTTTTCTTGGCCCTGTTACTAATATTAAACTGTCATCTAGAGTAATCACTTAACCATATTACAAGACAGTTTCACCATCTGTGCCTGAAAGTGAAATGCAAGTCAAATCAATGAGACTCTGAAATGAAAGCTACTTGATAAATGCAAAACCCTGTTCACATATCTTGTTATAGTTATTAAAAGTGATAATATCTGGCCAGGTACAGTGGCTCACACCTGTAATCCTAGCGCTTCAGGAGACTGAGGCGGGCGGATCACCTGAGGTCAGAAGTTCGAGACCGGCCTGACCAACATGGTGAAACCCCATCTCTGCTAAAAATATAAAATTAGCCAGGCGTGGTGGTGCATGCCTATAATCCCAGCTACTCGGGAGGCTGAAGCAAGAGAATTGCTTGAACCTGGGAGGTGGAGGTTGCAGTGAGCTGAGATTGTACCATTGCACTCCAGCCTGGGTAACGAGCAAAACTCTGTCTCAAAAAAAAAAAAGAATGTGATAATATCTGTGAAAGTATCTGGTCATCAGAATGGAAAATATCAAAGCATATGATCATCTGCAAAATAGCAGGAGTATTTTTAATTTTTTCATTTGTTTTTATTTTATCTTTTCTCTCTCCTTTTTTACATGCCTCCTGTCCTGAGAACCCCAGTAGTGTTAGTAATCAGAAGCAGAACAAATCAGGCAGATATGTCGTATGTACACACACATGTTTAGCAACTGCAGGCTCTAGTGGGAAGAATCAAAAACAAAAGATCTGTGCCAGTTTCCTTGCTGCTCTGTTCTGCCTTGTAAAGATCTGAGAATTAAAGTCTGCGTCAAGAACTTGTTTTTCCCTTTCATTTCCTCCCTCTGAAAGATGAGGGCTTTCAAAGGTTTCAGGCTGCGGCGTCATCGCCAAGCTATTCTGGGTGTTGTGCCCTTGTCGGGAGGAGGGGCTGATAGGGGCTGATATGGTGATTCATGCTGCTCATGTCCCCTCCCGGCTTTCAAAAGGAAGCGTTATGGAATGTGAATTGTATTTTTAAAAATCCACTCAGGGCCAGCGGAAAGCTGTAACATCACAATCGTATTCTTAGAGGGATCTCATTTTTCTTGACAGCTGCATCTGGGCTCCCTTTTTAGTCCTTCCAGAAGGCAAGGCATATTTGATAGCCTCTTTTCTGTTGCTTAGAAATGTGGGACATTTAGCCCCTGAGATCGCTCAGCTGAACAGAAGTGATTCCCCCTTTTGCCACCATCAAGAACGAAACTAGTTCTTGGCAACACAGATGGTCCAATTAAAAAAAAAAAACAATAATAATAAAAAAGACCTTTGTGGGTTTTTTCCTGAATATGTAGGTGATATATTTTCTTTCTTGAAAATTCAGAAAATACCAAAAAGACCTTAGAAGAAAGTAAATATCACTCGTAATCCCAACACTAAGCGATAGTAACCACTCTAACACTGAGGTGTATTTTCTGCTTTTTTCTATGTTTTGTGTGGTTTTTTTAAAATATTAAGGTTGTACTATATATATCACTCTATAACTTTAAAAGTATTTAATTTTTGAACACTATTTTACATAGCTAGGTAATAAAAAAGTATAAAACTGTATACAGTGAAAAGTCTTGCTCCCTTCTGATCACATAAAAAACTACCATTTACTAGTTTCCTTACAGAGAATTTTTTTTAATTAAAAAAATTTTTTTTAGAGACAGGGTCTCCCTATGTTGCCCAGGCTGGTCTCAAGCTCCTGCCGTCAGGCAGCCTCCCACCTTGGCTCCCAGGGTGCTGGGATTACAGGCGTGAGCCACTATGCCCTGCACTTCCAGAGAAGTTTTATGCTTACAAAAGCAATTATCAATTGTTTTCTTTGCTTTACCTGCAACTTTTTAAATATAAATAATAGCATACTGTAGTAACTATTCTGTATCTTGCCTTTTTCACTTAATATATTTTGTAATTCATCTGAAATCATTACATAAAGAGCTTCTTCATTCTTTCTTACACTTGTCATTTTGTAATATTCCATTGTCTGTATGTACCGTCACTTATCTAGCCAGTCCCCCGGAATGGATATTTAGATTATTTCCAGTCATTTGCTGTTAGTAACAGTGCTTGTGTATAGATCATTTTGCCTTTTACCGTAGGATAAATTCCTAGAATTCTTAGATTAAAGAACATGTGCCTTTGAATTTTGGTAGCTATTGCTAAATTGCTCTCCAGGAAGTTATGTGATACATATTCTTTAAAAGGGTAAACATATGTCAAGTGTATGTATTTCTTTTTTCTTTCTTTCTTTTTTTTTTTTTTTTTCCCCTGAGATAGGGCCTCACTCTGTTGCCCAGGCAGGAGTGCAGTGGGACGATCATGGCTCACTGCAGCTTTGACTTCCCAGGCTCAAGTGATGCTCCCACCTCAGCCTCCTGAGTAGCTGGGACTAAGGCATGTCCCACCACTCGGAGTAAGCTTTAAATTGTTTGTAGAGATGGGCCAGTCTACCTGTACCCAAGCAATCCTCCTGAAGCGCTGAGTTACAGGTTTGAGCCACCACCCCTGGCCTCTGTATGTATGCCTTTGATTGCTGCTGAGAACCTTTGATGAGGCAAGGGAAGGCTGTGCTCTTTTTCCTGTCTTTGAATGCCAACCCTAGAACTGGGTCTGGTCCGGAATGGTAGTGATTTGCTCATTGCATATGTTCCCTTCACAGGCGTGCCGTCGCCAGACTGATTACTGGCAGTTCGTGAAAGACATCCGGTGGCTCAGTCCCCACTCAGCCCTTCACGTGGAGAAGGTAAGAGTGAGAGCAGAGCGGCTGTGCTGGCAGAGCTGTGGGTCTTCACTGTTTGAGGCTCCGTCAGAAGAATCTTCTAGACTCTTGAGGGAATATGTCAAGTTGCCTATCAACCAAGGAAAGGAAATTAATTATCCCTCTAGGGACCGACTTTATTTGCTTAAAAAAAAAAACATGCAAACCCATTCATCCAGGCCACTTTTTCTCCTCTGGGGAAGGAATAGAAAAGTTTTGTTATTTTCAAAAAAGCCTGCATATATGGGACCCAGGGTGAAGCTTTTCAAAGCGTTTCCCTTAACTGTCTCAATTTAGTTCTCAGGTCATTGGGCCTCAATCTTGCCGTATCTACCAGGATGTATGTTTTGACTCATACCCCTTTGCTTCCCAGTTCATCAGCTTGCACGAGAACGGCCAGAGCAGTGCTGATGGTGTGAGTGAACGTGCTGTTGCCGAGTTGTGGCTGCAGCACAGCCTGCAATACCACTGCCTCTCAGCCCAGCTCCGGCCTCTGCTCGGGGATAGACAGTACATCAGAAAATTCTACACAGGTAGGTGGAGGCCACTTAGGATTGTCGTCTCTGCTTCCTCATTGTCACCCACCTCACTATTCATCGCTCTAGTACCAGGGCCTCCTATTTTTCTTTCTTTCTTTGAGACAGAGTTTCGCTCTGTCGCCCAGGCTGGAGTGCAGTGGCTCAATCTCAGCTCACTGCAACCTCCGCCTCCCGGGTTCAAGCAATTCTCCTGCCTCAGCCTCCCAAGTAGCTGGGATTACCGGCATGCACCACCACGCCCCGCTCATTTTGTATTTTTAGTAGAGACGGGGTTTCTCCATGTTGGTCAGCAGGTCTTGAACTCCCGACCTCAGGTGATTCGCCCGCCTCAGCCTCCCGAAGTGCTGGGATTACAGGCGTGAGCCACCATGCCCGGCAGGGCCTCCTATTTTTCACTTGATGCCATAGGGATTCTACTCAGAAACATATCCAGACTTACCTCTTACCTCCCAAGTAAGACACAATTCAACTTTATGTTAAGGTCATCCCCTACAGCCACACAGAGACAAACCAGTAAGAATAGCCACCGTTTACCAGGAGTTTCCTGCGTGCCCATCACTGCTGTCCAGTATCTTCACTGCAGCCCTGAGAGTTGGGCATTGGTGCTGCTGTTCCTAGTCCACAGGGCTCCAGAAGGTTAAGCGACTTGGCCAAAGTCACTCAGAGTCAGGATTCAAATCTGGATTTTTCTGACTTTGAAGCCTCTTGTCCCGGCCACTTTGCTGTACTCCACGTTCTTTAGCCTCTTCTCTACTTTGTTTCTGATTTCCCTTCACCCTACGGTGGCGTGACTCCTCCCAGTTCATCCTTACTTCTCCCTTTCTCCTTCCTCGAGCATCTCTCAAGGCCTCCCTGTTGGGTTCTATCACTGTGGTAGCTTTTCTCTCCCCAGATGCTGCTTTCCTGCTAAGTGATGCTCACGTCACGGCCATGCTTCAGTGCCTGGAAGCAGTGGAACAGAACAACCCCCGCCTCCTGGCTCAGATAGATGCATCCATGGTAAAGGAGACAAGGGATTATCCGTGTCTGTGCTGGGTCCCTGGACCTCAGCATGATGGAACCCTCTACAGCAAACTGGATTTTTACTTAGCCATTTTTGTGAGCTGAAAGGCTTTCATTTTTTTTTTTTTTTTTTTTAGAGGCAGAGTCTCGCTCTGTCACCCAGGCTGGAGTGCAGTGGCACGATCTCGGCTCACTGCAATCTACACCTCCTGGGTTCATTCTCATGCCTCAGCCTCCTGAGTAGCTGGGACTACAGGCGCCTGCCACCCCCGCCCCCCACCCATTTTTTTGTATTTTTAGCAGAGACGGGGTTTCACCATGTTGGCCAGGATGGTCTCGATCTCCTGACCTCATGATCCTCCCGCCTCGGCCTCCCAAAGTGCTGGGATTCCAGGCGTGAGCCACCGCGTCCGGCCGGCTTTCATTTAAAATGCTTGGAGAAGGGGAGGTACCATTAAGTACTTACTGAAGTAGAAAGTCTGAGGTTAGGTCTTGTGCTTAGTAGACCTAAACTGGGGAGTGGGAGGTCGATTTTGTTAAACCGGTGGTATCTTTTGACAAAGGATACCACGCCTTGACAGAGATCTGGGGAAAGAGGGATGGTTCTGAATTGGGCAGGGTTTAGGGTCAGACCTGGCATAGCTTAATGTTATATGGGGTCAGTTTTTTCATGTTTTTTTCTTTGATGTAAAGAAAATTTTATAGTACAAAGAAAATCTGTTGCCTAAAATTAACTTACCCCATGACTAATACTCCAGTCAGTGCGTTAGCTAGAATGGAATCAGAGTCCCCACTTCGTAGAGAAGAGGATCCCCTATCTCTCCAGATTCTTTTAATTTTGTTTTCTGTTTTTGTTTTGTTTTGGTTTGGTTTTTGAGACAGAGTCTCACTTTGTCGCCCAGGCTAGAGTGCAGTGGCATGATCTCAGCTCACTGCAACCTCTGCCTCCCGGGTTCAAGTGTTTCTCCTGTCTCAACCTCCCAAGTAGCTGGGATTACAGGTCTGTGCCACCATGCCCGGCTAATTTTTGTGTTTTTAGTAGAAACAGGGTTTCACAATGTTGGCCAGGTTGGTCTTGGAACTCCTGACGTCAAGTGATCCGCTCGCCTCGGCCTCCCAAAGTGCTGGGATTACAGGTGTGAGGCACTGCGCCAGGCCTGATTCTTTTAGTTTTGATTGTTGGTTACTATCCATTGAATACTTTCTATGTGCCAGGCATAGTGCTGTGTATGATACATGGATCATCTCATTGAATCTTCGTAACTCTGTGAAGTGGGCATTGATCTCATTTTGTAAAGGAGGCTGCTGAGGCACAGAGTAGATATGTGGTCCAAAGTTTAGATCAAATAGCTGACAAGTGTCAGGGCCTGGATTTGAACCCTAGTCTGTCTGACTTTTGATTCCACATACATAATCTTACGCACTGTTGTGCTGCCTCTGTAATAAAGCACTCCTGGTTTAACACCTGGAAGGATTCCAGTGCAGAAGCTGTGGTTTCACAGTTGTAAATTACATACTATAGTAGAAGGTAGCCTTGCTGTATCTACAGGTCTGGCTAAAGTCCAGGCCTACTGCAAAGGTAGCTTCTACCAGCATTTCTGCAGTACCGCATTGCCCCCCACTCTGAGGCCCTCTGTCCTTAACTCTGACACATTCTTTGGTTTTGTTTTGCTTTTCAGTTTGCCAGAAAGCACGAGAGCCCACTCCTGGTGACAAAGAGCCAGAGCCTGACAGCCCTGCCCAGTTCCACATACACCCCTCCAACCAGCTATGCTCAGCATTCCTACTTTGGGTCCTTCTCTAGCCTCCACCAATCCATGCCCAACAATGGCTCAGGTATGGAGACAGGAAAAAGTGGTCATTACATTCATCCCCAGCCCTGGAAAGTAAGAAGACTTTGTGGTTGCTCACAGGCTTTGAAAATTGAGCCTTTGGTTGGTACAGTTTTTCTTAATAAGGGACATCTTTACAAGTTATATAGTGACTAGCCTGAAATAATTCAGTAGAATCATGAAGTAACAGAAGGGAGAGATGTTTTTAGATTCCCCTGGGTTTCTAATCCATGTTGCCAGGAAGGCATTTCAATGCTAGCTAACATTCATTGATTGCCAATCATGTACTAGGCTCTGTTGTATTCAGTTTGTACGTGTTATCCCATTTGAGCCTTCAAACAGTCCTCTTACTGCTCATTTTTCAGATGAGGAATGCATACTAATAAGCAATAAAGCCACTGTCTCCGGAGCCCATACACTTGACTTAGCTGCTTCTAAATAATTTTATACTTTATTTGACTTGCCATTTCTGAGGTGACATCTTATGTCCTGGGCACCTAGTAACAATAGAAAGTTTGAACCTTAGCTGTGAAGAAGTCCTTCATACGTACTGCAGGATTCCACCTCACCCTTGCTCCCCTTACCATTTCCTTTTATATTCTAGAGAGAAGATCTACTTCCTTTTCACTCTCTGGCCCTCCCCGGAAACCTCAAGAAAGCAGAGGGCACGTCTCACCAGCAGAGGATCAAACCATCCAAGCCCTCCCGGTTTCAGTCTCTGCACTAGCCAGGAATTCCCCCTTAACCCCAAATGAGATGAGCTCCAGTACTCTGACCAGCCCTATAGAGGCATCCTGGGTCAGCAGCCAGAATGATTCCCCAAGTGATGCCAGTGAGGGGCCTGAGTACCTGGCCATTGGCAACTTGGACCCCCGAGGCCGGACTGCCAGCTGTCAGAGTCACAGCAGCAATGCTGAGAGCAGCAGCTCCAATTTGTTCTCCTCCAGCAGCTCCCAGAAGCCAGATTCTGCTGCCTCTTCCTTAGGGGACCAGGAGGGAGGTGAGGAGAGCCAGCTGTCCAGTGTCCTCCGCAGGTCCAGCTTCTCAGAGGGGCAGACACTCACCGTCACCAGTGGGGCAAAGAAGAGCCATATTCGCTCCCATTCGGATACCAGCATCGCCTCCAGAGGAGCTCCAGGTAATGAGGAACACCAGCTGCTAGTTAGCAAGAGAGCCCTGAGTTGAGAGTGAAGAGAGGCCTTGTTGTGAGGACTTCTCAGACGGCAGAGAGAGGTGTTCTGTTCTGACTGTATAACATCTTGTTTTGTAATGAAGGAAGTTTATAAGGAAGTACCAAGACTCAGAATCTCTATTTATGTTTGTTTCTTTATACATTGCTAATATTAAATGTTTTCCTGGATTCTTTACTACTTTAGTAACATCAGAGGATAGCGTGACTCATCACAGTTCGACTTTTCAAAGTATCTCTTGTATTGGGGAAAGTATTAGTGAGCTTTAAAAATAATCCCATTAAGTTCTGTCATTTCCTGTGACGTCTTAGAAGTTTGACCAGGTGTAATAATACCAGGTGTAATACCAATGTAAGAGGTAGAGAGATACTGGGGTTTCTAATTAAAACGAAGGCGATAGTGAGGGTGGGGTGATGTGATCCAGCAGGTGAGCGGGTGGGGCTAACGGCCGCATCACTGATTCAGACCGAGAGGCAGTCAGATGAGCAGGCCCTGGCCACTGGGACCTCACCAAACACCATCTGATAGGAGGGGCAGCCTACACGTGGGAAAAGTGGGGCTCCTTGCTTTTGCCTTCTCCTTGCCATCATCTTTCCTGGCTTGTGGTATCCGGCAGGCTTTGGTTGGGTTTTGTTTGTGGCAGCATCTCCATAAGAGAAAGTATAGCATGGAGCTTTGTGCTCAAAGCCATTCTGGGTCACAAAAGCCCCAGAAATAAGATATAAAAATAAAATATAAAAAATTCAGTGACCTAGAAAAAAAAGGATTTTCTTTAGCAACTGGAGATAGCGTTGCTTTCTCTTTGTGATTTCTGGAAAGGTGAGAGCTTAGGCCCTCATCTGAAACCTTCAAAATTACAAACTTTTATCTTTGTTTTCCCTCAAGAATGTGATTTAAGTTGTTGGAAATCTTGAGGAGAAGAATCTCCAAATCAAAGCCTGTCTTCCCATGAGCTTTCTTAGATGTGAAGATGACTTGGGCTGGACCCGCACTTCACATCTGCTGCTGCAGGCCTGATGTCTGCTGTACTCCAAGCCACTGGCCTTTGAGCATGTAAAACTTTCCCACCCCATTCTTGAATCCATATGGATTCCAGTGGAATCCTGCCTTGGAAAAGGGAGCCAGGGAAAATGTGTGCAGAAGTATCTGAGGAAAGACGGGTCACGCACAGCTTCTTGGATGAGCCATCCGTCCTTCACAACTGGGGTTTCCTCTTGGGAGTTCCATCCCCACTTCTGCTGCGTAAAATTTAGGACACTTTTTTTCTCCTCTCTGTTCTCATTGCTCTGTCTGGAATCTCCTCTGCACCTGTCTGACTACCTACAGGAGGTCCCAGGAATATCACCATTATAGTTGAAGATCCCATTGCAGGTTTGGGAATTGGTCCTCCACTTCCTCTTTGCTCTGCTCTGTGACCACCTTTCTTAGTTCAGAACCTTCTTCAGTCTGGTGTCAAATCAAGTCTGGCTAGTCTGGTCTCGTTGTGATGCTTGGAACTGTCTATAAAATGATACCAGTATTTCATATGATGTGTTTTCTATACACAATTCCAAATGCCTCATTTAGTCTCTCAACAGCTTCTGAGAGGCAGAGTCAAGACTTATCATTTCGGTTTTGGCCAAAGGTGAAACTGAGGCCGCTATTTGTCTGAGGCATCATGATGAATCAGTGGCAGACTTTTTTCTCTTTTTTAAAATTTTTTGACTTTTTTTTTTTCCGGTAGAGACAGGGTTTCACCATGTTGCCCAGGTTGGTCTTGAACTCCTGGCTTCAAGTGATCCTTCTGCCTTGGCCTCCCAAGTGCTGGGATTACAGGCGTGAGCCACCACACCCAGCCCAGAATTTTTCTTATAACTGAATACTTCCTATGGATTACTTTATTTTCCTTGAATTAACACCAGAATGTATTTTACCCCTTTCTGTGGTCTCAGATAGACTTGCATGTTTGGTTTTTTCTTTTTTGTTTTTTTTTTGTGTGTGTTTTTTTCCTCTCCTGCAGTTCCCTGTTTCCTTTTTCTTTCACCTGTTTTCATTTCCCTATAAATCCCTGCACCCCATTCCAGCTATTGCGTAGGATTTTTCTAGTGATTTCAGTGTGTTTCCTTGGTGTTCGTGGTGGTGTTCAAACTGAGTTTTGTGTTCCATCCTGGGTACCATAATTCATGGAGCTGAACACTGGAATGTGTCTGCAAGGCAAAGGAGTGAGAGAGGGCTGAAATCCGTGGCTTCCTGGAAGTGGGTGAGGCCATTGGGTATGTTAACTTGGAAAAGAGATGGTTAAGGAGGAATAACGTCTGTAGGACCATCATTTAGAATAGCGTTGTTCCTAAGCAGATGAGAAATTGTAAGAAGGCAGGTATCAAGTGAGTGGAAGGGAATTGTAAGAATTAGTTAAATCATGCTGCTATAAAGACACATGCACACGTATGTTTATTGTGGCACTATTCACAATAGCAAAGACTTGGAATCAACCCAAATGTCCATCAGTGACAGACTGGATTAAGAAAATGTGGCGCATATACACCATGGAATACTATGCAGCCATAAAAAAAGGATGAGTTTGTGGCCTTTGTAGGGACATGGATGAAGCTGGAAACCATCATTCTTAGCAAACTATCACAAGAACAGAAAACCAAACACCGCATGTTCTCACTCATAGGTGGGAACTGAACAATGAGATCACTTGGACTCGGGAAGGGGGACATCACACATCGGGGCCTATCATGGGGAGGGGGGAGGGGGGAGGGATTGCATTGGGAGTTATACCTGATGTAAATGACGAGTTGATGGGTGCTGACGAGTTGATGGGTGCAGCACGCCAACATGGCACAAGTATACATATGTAACAAACCTGCACGTTATGCACATGTACCCTAGAACTTAAAGTATAATAATAATAAAAAAAAAAAAAAGAAAAGAAAAAAGATTTAGTTAAATGGCGGCATTAGGAAGAAGTGAACTCAGCAAGAAAAGGCTGAATGACCACGTGTTGTGAAGAGGTTAAGGTCGTGGTAGAGTTTGTGTTGTATGCTGTTTGAGAATTCCAAGTCATGGTTTTTTACCAAGGTATCGTGGTGACTACTAGTTTGTCCTCAGTTCAGTAGGAAGGAACAGAGCCCACGACCAGGACTACCAGAAGTCTTTGAGGACCAAGAAAAACACAAAATTGTCTGTTTCACAGAGTAGCATTTTTTGTGAGAGGAGTAGCTGGCAATTTGGCACCATCTGTCGGGGAAATGGGTTAGATGCAGCTCAATCATTCATTCTCCCATAGCATCCTGCTCATTTTCAAGCACCCACCTGCTTTTCCACCTGTTCTTCCTTCTGTGGTCCTGGAAATGTTGTGTTTCCTTGTGAAGAATATCAGTTTCTCATTTCTGTGAGCCCTGACTGCCACTGTTCTCCCCTCCCAGCTCTCACTCTTCCTGTCCCAGGCATTGTCTGTCTCGCCAGCTTTCCCTCCCTCCCTTCAATAAGGATGGGCTGAGTCCCGTAACGGGCCCCTTGCTTACGGGGCCCTCTCCCTGGGCTTCTCCAGCACTGCCTTGATGCTTCTTTTTAGGACACTGCTGAATTTTATTTCCTTAGTGAATGTAAATCTTCTGATGTTACTTTAAAACCTAATGTCAACATGTCAGAAAAGTTTCAATGCACTTGTCTTTGTTTTACCGTCTAAAGACTTTTCTAAATTGGTTTGTCAAGAGGATAGAAATCAGCTAACATTCCTGTAATGTTTGGTTAAAAGATGTAAGGAAAGAGAAGCAAATTTCATGAATCCATTTTGATTTGATTCTTTCTCTCCTTTATGTTGCCCCATTCTGGATCACATTTCTTCTTTTCCACTTAGAATGTACTGACCGGCCATCTCCTTCCCTCCCTGTGTTTCTGTGCCCTTGGGCTGTTCCATTGTTGTGCCACCTCTCTCCTGCTTGGGAGGGCTTTGGGAAGGGGTGCAGTTAAATGTTGAAACTCCAAAGTTGGGAATGTGTCTATTGCTCACTTTGTATGTGTGTTTTTACTCGTTGGTGGTCATCGCCATTAGAATCCTGCAATGATAAGGCGAAGTTGAGAGGCCACTTGCCCTACTCGGGTCAAAGCAGTGAAGTCAGCACACCCAGTTCTCTGTACATGGAGTATGGTGAGTACTATGTACTCTATCTTTTCTCTGCTCGCCCCTTGTGCCTGCTAAGCTCTGAGCTTTGGGGTTCATCTCAGCTCTGCGGAGGTACATACTGTTACAGTCTCAGTCGCTCTTTAGTCGTTTTCAACCCCTGTGCTAGAAATCGCACTGCTCTGCCATTTCTCTTGCTCCTCTCTGACTTCGGGGTCCTACCCACTCTTACCGCTGGGTGTTGGCACCAGGCATGTCAGCTGATCCATGTGGAATGGCTCTATGAGTGGATGAGATGGACCTTGAAAAGAGGACTTGGAGTATCTGGGCTTAATAACCAGCAGACAAACTCTACATGCAAATCATGCAGAGGAGGAAGCCATTTGTGTCCTTTTCTGACTCCCAGCCCAGAGTTTTCCATTTTTATTTTGTTTTTTCTTTATTATATGGTATGGGGGAGAGCATGTTCTCTTTGATTTTAGATGGCAGAAGGATTCTCTCTGTTTATTCCATCATTTTCCAACCAAAAGGCTTAGTGCTCTGGGATTCTAAGAGTACAAGAAATTCTTTTTTTTTTTTTTTTTTGAGACAGAGTTTTGCCCTTGTTGCCCAGGCTGGAGTGCAGTGGCACAATCTTGGCTCACTGCAACCTCCGCCTCCCAGGTTCAGGCTATTCTCCTGCCTCAGCCTCCCTAGTAGCTGGGATTACAGGCATGAGCCATCACGCCCAGCTGATTTTTGTATTTTTAGTAGAGATGGGGTTTCACCGTGTTGGCCAGGCTGGTCTCAAACTTCTGACCTCAGGTGATCCGCCCGCCTCGGCCTCCCAAAGTGCAAGAAATGCTTTTAGAAGGTAGACATCTTCCAACCTCTAATTCCCAGTTACCTGGGAAGACTTGGGAGCATCTTTAATGGTAAAAGCTTAAGACTTCCTGAAGAAGCTTGACTGTTTCATCCACATTCCATTTCCCATAGAAGGTGGTCGGTACCTGTGCTCAGGGGAAGGCATGTTCCGAAGACCATCAGAAGGACAGTCCCTCATCAGCTACCTCTCTGAGCAAGACTTCGGCAGCTGTGCCGACCTGGAAAAGGTGGGAAATGGAGGGCCTCATGAAGAGCTCATGAGTTGGGAGATTGGGTCTGAAGGTCTGTGGTGCCATATGTTCTGATGAGGTTTTGGGTATGTAGCAGTGACATGGGTACAGACTGCAGTAAAGATAAGTTCACAGTAGAAGGAAGCTCAGCAAGTTCTGTTTCTGAGGAACTCTGCAGGGAGCATGTGCCCCTCATCGAGTCCCAGATATTAGCGATTTTATCTTAGAAGTCAACCTGGGCAGAGAAGCATCAAGTTTGTGTGTGTGTTTTTGTTTTTTTGAGATAAGAGTCTTGCTCTGTCACCTAAGCTGGAGTGCAGTGTCACGGTCATGGCTCACTACAGCCTCAAATTCCTGGGCTCGAGCAGTCCTCCCGCCTCAGCCTCCCGAGTAGCTGGGTCTACAAGCACGTGCCACCACACCTGGGTGTTTTTTTTTATTTTTTGTAGAGATGGGGGGGGGTCTCCCTGTGTTGCCCAGGCTGGTCTTGAACTCCTGGGCTTGGCGTCCCAGAGTGCTGGGATTAATAGGTGTGAGCCCCTGTGTTTGGGGTCTTGAACTCCTGGGCTTGGCCTCCCAAAGTGCTGGGATTAACAGGTGTGAGCCCCTGCATCTGGCAGCATTGTTTTTGCTGCATGATTGCAGTTCCCTTGACCCGGGCACCTTAGGTAAATACTGTTTCCAGAATCAAATTCTATCTTTTGTTCTAAGGCTCAGATAAGCAATAAATGACATCTGTGTAGCATTTTGTAGCCTGCAAAAACACTCTTATCTTGAGACATAACATTTACCTTAATATTTTGCGTACAGGTGTATGATTTTGGGAAAGAACCTGATTGAAATCCTGGGCCTCTTCTCTATCATATTTTTATGTAGAAATGAGACAGGAAGGGACAGGCTTGGCAAAGTAAGAGAGTGAAGAAAACCTAGGATAGGTTTTCCAGCCATCAGCTTTCCTCGTAGTAGAAATGTCCATTTCTCCAGAGTGTTTTTGACAGAAACAGTTCCTATCTTGGAAACTCCCCTTTCCAACATTATAATGTCATTCAATACTTGTAACCCTTTGCTTGTTTGCTGCTCCCCTTCCCCCAGGAGAATGCCCACTTCAGCATCTCAGAGTCCTTAATCGCTGCCATCGAGCTAATGAAGTGCAACATGATGAGCCGGTGCCTGGAGGAGGGGGAGGAAGAGGAAGACAGTGACAGAGAGATCCAGGAGCTGAAGCAGAAGATCCGCCTTCGGCGCCAGCAAATCCGCACCAAGAACCTGCTCCCTGTGTACCAGGAGGCTGAGCATGGAAGTCAGTGGAGCCTGTGGACACTATTCCCACATTCTCCCAGCTTCAGCATAAGGCCTGGTGCCTTATCGCTCTTCCTTTGGGATGTTATACCCAAACCAGTGGTTCCTCTGCCATCAGAAAGACATTTCTATATAGTCCTACTTTTTTTTTTTTAACCATACTAGGAATACTCATCCTAGAGTTGCTCCGTTTCCTACATCAGGAATAGCTCCTTTCCAGACCAGGTGGAGTGGCTCATGCCTGGAATCCCAGCAGTTTGGGAGGCCGAGGCGGGTGGATCACTTGAGGCCAGGAGTTCGAGACTCTCCTGGCAAACATGGTGAAACCCCAGCTCTAAAAATATACTGGCCAACATGGTGAAACCCCAGCTCTAAAAAAAATATATATATATATATATATATAAAAAGAGGAATAGCTCCCTTCCAAAATAGTTTTCTGATATAAGAAGACCTAAGCACGCTCGTCCCGGATTTGCTTTCCAGATAGTAGTACCTTCTGTTTCCTTGAAACTGTCTAAAGGGAAAGTTTCCATTTCTCTCTGTTGAAGTCTTGTGACACTGGAAGGACAAGAAGACCTCTTTCTGCCCTATTTATTCCTTTTTGTTTTTAAACATAACAGGCTTTCGGGTCACCTCCAGCAGCTCCCAGTTCAGCTCACGCGATTCGGCACATCTCTCTGACTCTGGCTCTGCTGATGAGGTTGATGAATTTGAAATCCAAGGTAAGAAGTGACACTTTGTTACAAGGGAACTTTTATTGCCTGTTTCTTTCCATTTAGAATGATAAGCTGCAAAGTTTTTCCTAAGTAGAAGATCTTCATTATGGATTGTTGCTAGCTATTGTAAGGGACAGCATTCTGCTAAAAACAAAACCCCTTTACAATTTCAGTGGAAAGAGCACTGAAAGCAGGTGTTCCAGGCGGAGTGGCTGCTGGCTGGTGTCACCCTGATGCTTCCTCCTCAGTGGTATCTTTCTCTTGGGTTCCCACTCTGACTCCTCTTTTCAGCTTGTAGGGCTGGTCCATACCACTTGGAATTAGAATCCTATTCTCTTGGGTTCCATAACACAACTGAAATTGTTTCCAAGTGTTCGAAAGAGAAAAGGACAAACAGAATCATTGGGGGCAGGGGGACAAAAAAGGAACAAAATCAGGCCTACAAAGTGAGCTTGAATTTCTGCCCTTGCAGTGCTCAGTTGCTTAACACAGGCACAGGCTCTTGTTGTTGTTGTTGTTGTTGTTGTTGAAGTACCAGCATAGAGAAACAGTGGGGTTCCAGTCTGGGAAGGCAGTTGTGCTAAATCAGGTTAAGGTCCCGTTCCTGCAAGTCATAGATTTCTTCAAGTTCATCAGCAAAACAAACACACACACAAAAACAGTTCAGGGACATACGCTCCTCCCTCATGGGTGAGAACAACAGTGGTTTCCTTACTGCAGTGAATGGTGTCTGTAATTCTCTGTTACAACGTTGTGTACGTGGACAGAGGTGAACTGTATCTATAATTCTCCATTATAACGTTATAATGTGATGACAAATAGATCTTGTGTTGTGTGAGGCTTTGATTTCCTGTTTACACAATCTAGAGAACCCGTTCGCCTGCACAGGCCTCCGGATGGAGGAACCACACGTTTGTTCCCTGTTCAGAAACTCTGTTTTTCCACAAATTTTCCAGGTATTCAGGAAGTCTTCCTTCTATGTTCTCCTTAATGTCTCTGATTTCTATTTATGACAACAATAGGTAGTCATTAAAACTCCTTTTGTTTGGTTGGTTGGTTGGTTGGTTGTATGTGATCCTCCAACTCCTCTCCAATTCTCCACCATCAGCTGGGTGACTTACAGTTTGGTTCTGACACTAACTCGCTGGAGTCAGCACAGATCCTGCAGGCTACAGTCCTGTGAGATTACTTCTGCTTCAGATGCCAGACGCAGGTCACCAAGCTACCTGCCCTTCTGCTTGTAGGCTGACTACAAATTCAGAGTTCCCATGACCCCTTTTCCCCAGGTGGGATAATTTGCTTGAAAGACACCCAGAACTTGGGAAAGCTTAGGATTATAGCCTGTTGTAAAGGATCCAAACGAGCAGCCACATGAAGAAGTACGTAGGGCCTAGGAAGAGATCACGAGCACAGGAACTCCTCCTGCCCCCATGGTGTCTGGGGGCACCACCCTCCCAGGTGCATTGATGTGTTCGCCAACCAGGAAGCCTGGACATCCTTGTTCCAAGTTTTTATTGACGTTTCATTATATAGGCACCATTGATTAAGTCACCAGCCATGGTGATTGAACTCAGTCTTCAGTCCCTCTCCCCTCCTGGAGGTGATGGGGGAGTAGAAGTTCCAGGCCTCTCATGACGTGGTTGGGTCTTTTGATAGCCCCCACTGGTGAAGCTGTCTGTCTAGGGGCCTGCCAGGAGTCTCCTCATTAGCATAAACTCAGGTATGATTGAAAGGGGCTTCTTTTGAATAATAAAAGATATTACTACAATTCAAGAAATTCCAAGAATTTTAGGAATTCTCACCAGGAACTGGAGACAGAGACCAAGTATCTATTTTCTGTTATACCACAGTCTGTGATTGACTTCATCTCCTCACTAAAAAAAGAAAGAGGGTCTGACCTCGCTCCCAGGATCTGCAGCCGGAATTTCGGGAGGAGAATAGTGAGGTGAATTCACATCAGTCCACGTGACAACCACATGTGTGTCCCGCAGCACAGCAGGGATCCGGGAGGCTGTGCAGGCCCAAAGCCACTCCTGGTAGAAACTGTTGCTGCCGTTGTGGACCCTGAGGAGATGTTCAGTCAACTAATTCTCTAGTCGATTCACAACAGAAATCCTTAAAGGAAAAGACCTTGGGCCAGGGTTTTCCAACCCGTGGGCCAGACCATTCTTTGCCATGAGGGATTGGGCTGTGGACTGTACGATGTTTAGCATCATTCTTCGCCTCTACCCACTAGAGGCTGGTGGCGACCCCTCCCCAGTATTGAGACAATCAGAAATGCCTCCGTCATTGCCTGAGTCCCCGTGGCTGAGAACCCCTGCCGTGGGAGGTCCTTGAGGCTGGGCGTGGCATAGGAAGTAGCAGTAACTCTCCTCCAAGCTAGAGTGAGCACCTACCCAAGGATGTCAGTTCCTAAACGCCATTTCATGTCTGGGAGCAAATGGCAAGTTTTGATTCCAGGAACACATGGTATAGAATATTAGTTTATTTCCTGCTGGAATACTAAAGGGCACCCTTTTGTCATCATTATTACACAGATGGTAGTGAAGGATCTAACCTGACTCACATATCAAAGAACGGACTGTCAGTGTCACTGGCCTCGATGTTCTCAGGTAGCCGACCTTGCAAGCGTGGATGTGCTCGTAGATGCATGTGTGTGAATGTTGCACCAGCTTTTTCGTGTATACTTAATCACGTGATAACTGTGAGGGTTACGAGGACCACGTGATAACTGTGAGGGTTACGAGGACTTGGGGGGGCTGGAGAACTAGTTGGAAGAAACTGGAGCTAAGCCAGAACACCAAGCCAGGAGCAATTCAGATACTCACCAGTTCATCCTCATGTGACCCCAACAATCTTCCTCATCAAGTTTGTCCTTGGTGATCCTTCCCTACGGTGATAAATTTCAATTTAGTGGCCATTGTGACTGATGGAGGTAGTGGACAGTTTAGAAAGGAATAGTTAGATGAAGAATTTTAGTTCAGACCTATCCTAAGCTCCTGCCACACATTCAGACAGCAGAAGTAGGATAGATTGGTATGAAGCTTAGTGTCTCTTTAGAATTTTGAATTTGCAGAGCCAGTTTTTAGAAAGCCATCTCTTCTGGGTACTTTTTGTACAAGTAGGATTTACTGCAGTAGATGTTTGTTCTTGTTTTGTGATCCAAACAAGTAGGTTTCCTGTAGGTGAGGTTAATAGAAAGAAAGTAGTAGCTTTCTGCTCAGAATGACTTTAAAACACAAAAACAACAACAAAACTCAGAACTTCTGTATTTTTTTTGAGACGGAATTTGGTTCTTGTTGCCCAAGGTGGAGCACAATGGCACCATCTCAGCTCACTGCAACCTCTGCCTTCCATTTTCAAGCAGTTCTCCTGCCTCAGCCGCCAGAGTGGCTGGGACTACAGGCAGCTGCCACCACGCCCGGCTAATTTTTGTATTTTTAGTAAAGACAGGGTTTCATCATGTTGGCCAGGCTGGTCTCAAACTCCTGACCTCGTGATCTGCCCACCTCGGCCTCCCAACATGCTGGGATTACAGGAGTGAGCCACCACACGTGGCCCAGAACTTTTATTAAAACTGTTAATATTGTTGGGCACTAGGAATTTGAAATAATTATGTGAGATTAGATCAAGATTTAGAGCAATAAAGACAAATATTACAGGAGCTCCCATTTTCTCACTCATGTGGAAGCTAAAAAAGTTGATCTCATGGAGGTGGAGAAGAGAGTGATAGTTACAGAGGCTGGGGAGGAGGTGGGTTGGGGCGTAAGGAGAGGTTGGTTAGTGGGTTCAACCACACAGTTAGAAGGAGTAAGTTCTAATGTTCAGTAGCACAGTAGTGTGGCTGTGGCTGACATATTGTATACTTCAGAAGAGTCAGAAGAGATCTGAAGTGCTCCCAACACAAAGAAATGATAAATGTTCAATCAGTGAACATTCTAAATACCCTGATTTGACCATTACACGTTGTATGCATAAAATATCACATGTGCCCTGTCAATATGTACAAATATTATGGTATCAACTCAATGTTTTTAAGATTAGAGAAATAAAAGTAATTAGGCTGCTTTTTTTTCCTACTCCTGAACGACTGTCATTGATTCTCATGAGTCCTCCCTGCCTGAGGAAGAGTTCTCCTGACTCCCTTTCTTCATTGATCTAACATGAGTCTCCCTGCCTGAGGAGGAGTCGTCCTGACTCCCTTTCTAACTGGTTTCCGGGGCGTTTAGTCCTTTGTGGGGGCACATGTTGAGTGTCAGCCACTTCTCCCTCAGAGTGTGTCCAGTCTGCTCTCACCACCAGGCAGGCCTTGATTCGGTCTTTCTAGCATCCTTCTTTCCCCATTTTGGGGGCTTTAAAAAAATTGTATACACATGACAGGTTTTACATTAAGAATGTGAAATGTTTTTCTTTTTCTTTTTCTTTTTTTGAGACAGAGTCTCGCTCTGTCGCCCAGGCTGGAGTGCAGTGGCGCAATCTCGGCTCACTGCAAGCTCCGCCTCCCGGGTTCACGCCATTCTCCTGCCTCAGCCTCCCGAGCAGCTGGGACTACTGGTGCCCACCACCTCGCCCGGCTAATTTTTTGTATATTTAGTAGAGACGGGGTTTCACCATGTTAGCCATGGTGATCTCGATCTTCTGACCTCGTGATCTGCCCGCTTCAGCCTCCCAAAGTGCTGGGATTACAGGCGTGAGCCACCGCGCCCGGCCGTGAAATGTTTTTCAATTAAAAAGCTGCTTTTTAGGCTGAGTGTAGTGGCTGCTTATGTTGGTAATCCCAGCATGCTGGGAGGCTTGAGGTAGGAGGATTGCTTGAGGCCAGGAGTTGGAGACCAGCCTGAGAAACATAGTGAGATCCCATCTCTACAAAAAAAAATATTTCAGAATTAGCTGTGTGTGGTGGTGCATGCCTGTAGCCCCAGAGCTCTGGAGGCCGAGGTGGGAGGATTGCTTCGTCTGGGGAGGTCGAGGCTACAGTGAGCCATGATCATGCCACTGCACTTCATCCTGGGTAACAGAGCAAGACCCTGTCTCAAAAAAGAAAAAATTCACCCACTTCAAGTGTACAACTCAACGATTTTTGGTAAATTTACCAAGTTGTGCAGCCATCACCGTAATCCAACTTGAGGACATTTTCATCACCCCAGTAGTATCCCTTGGGTCACTTTACGGTGAATTCCTGTCCCCACTTCCAGCCCCACTCCGCTGCTCGTCTTTCTGTCTCTGTAGATTTGCCTTTTCTGGACACTTGGTATAAATGGAATTATCTGATACGTGATGCGTCATCTTTTGTGTCTGTCTTCTTTCACGTCATCTGCTTCTGCTGATGGTGTCTGCCAAGTTGGGTTCGATATCTTTCATAAGCTCCCAATCTCAGACAGCCTTTTCAACTTCTTTGGATTTAGAGTTTTGTTGTTGTGATTTTTTCCCCCATCTCCACCTTCTTGTATTATAGCTGATTCTTCCAGAGTTTTCATCCTCTGCATAGATGTATCTAGTCAGCGTCCAGTCAGGAGACAGAAACTACACAGTAATTTGAATAGGGAAAGTTTAGTAAAAAGAATGATTAACTATAATGTGGGAATCATGGAGTGGGAAACTGGCTCATGAGGAGTAAAGAAGACTCTCAAGAGTACACAGGAGAAACCAGGCGCGGTGGCTCACACCTGTGAGCCCAGCACTTTGGGAGGCCGAGGTGGGCAGATCACGAGGTCAGGAGATCGAGACCAGCCTGGTCAACGTGGTGAAACATTTAGTATGTCTGCTAAACATACGAAAATTAGCTGGGTGTGGTGGTGCACACCTGTAATCTCAGCCACTCTGGAGGCTGAGGCAGGAGAATTGCTTGAACCTGAGAGGTGGAGGTTGCAGTGAGCCAAGATCATGCCACTGCACTCTAGCCTGGGCGACAAGAGTGAAACTTCGTCTCAAAAAAAAAAAAAAAAAAAAAGAGTGCGCAGGAGGAGCAGCCACTATCCTCGGGGCTGGGATGGAGCATCTGGGGTGGGAATAGATGTAAAGGAGTGATACATCTTGGATCACTTGGATCTCCCCAAGGCTGAGATCCAGACCTCCTGGCTCACTGGATGGTGGGGTTCCCTGAAGCCCAGAGCTGCCCTATGCTGGTGCCGGGTTCCCTGAGGCCCAGAGCTGCCCTGAGCTGGTGCCAGGGGACACTCTCCATGGGGAGGTGGCATGCTAACAACTGTCACCGGGAAACTGTTCTCTGGGGTGCTGAGGGAGGATGCCCATGAGAGGTGCTGTCTCGGAACCCAAGGGTACTGGTGAAAGCGCTTCGTGGGAAGGTGGTAGGCCAGTGGCACTCACTGTAAAGCTCTCCAGGGAAGCTCTCCTGGTGGGTGCTGAGGGGGCTGTTTATGAGGGCATCGCCCGTGGTGCTCTGCTGCAAAGCTGCCCAAGGTGTGCCTCCCCCGGAGTCAGCCTAGAGAAGCAACCAGAACCAGCCAGAGAAACCCCTTCTGCCTCCAGCACCCTCTACCGCAAAACTTCACATCATGTCAGCTGGCAAAGGAGAAATGTTTCTGTGTCCAGCTCCATTATTGCAGAGCAGGCAAAAACAAGGGCAGATTTGGAGTCAAAAGGCAGTAAATTGATAGCTGGCATAATAGGTAAAGAGGAAAGTTCATGGCTATATTTTCTGACAAGTTTCAAAATTATATCCAATTGAAGGTAATCAGTTGCTTCTCCCTCATCCATTTTTAAATTAAATTTTTTCTCTTTATAAAACAAGAATGCTTTGGGTTCTCCATTTTGAAATGTTTCGAGTCAGCAATTACAGAAAATTTGTTGGATTTGGACTCCCAGATATGTTGGGTATGACCTTATCTTCTAGAAAGAAAGCAGGATGAAAACCAACGTCAAACTGGCCAGTACATTCTGAAGTTGACTCTTCTTGTGACTCACTTATTTTGTTTAAAAATTTGCATAGTTGGCCTGGCGCGGTGGCTCACCCCTGTAATCCCAGCACTTTGGGAGGCCGAGACGGGCGGATCACAAGATCAGGAGATCGAGACCATCCTGGCTAACACGATGAAACCCCGTCTCTACTAGAAATACAAAAATTAGCCAGGCTTGGTGGCGGCGCCTGTAGTCTCAGCTACACGAGAGGCTGAGGCAGGAGAATGGCGGGAACCCGGGAGGCGGAGTTTGCAGTGAGTGGAGATCGCACCACTGCACTCCAGCCTGGGTGACAGAGCAAGACTCTGTCTCAAAAAAAAAAAAAAAAAATTTGTGTAGTTTGCTAAGGTACCAGGGTTTTAGCCAGCTCTTCTCTGATCATTCAATACCAGTGTCTGGATACACAGCAAATTCTTCTCCTTATAACTTGTCATTGTTTTTGTTATTTATTTTTATATTTTTAAACTTTTTTCTGTCAGTAATAATGGCCTTATTCTATTAAGTTGGTGCGAAAGTAATGGCAAAAATTGCGATTACTCAACCTAACATCTATGCATCAGAAGCACCTGAAATCATTCTCTTGCAATAACAAATACTTGTTTTTGTACCAAAAAAATCAATAAAAAGTTTCAGAATTATGTTAAATTCCACTTGGATGGTGAGAGTCTCAGACCTGCCCCGTAAGTGCTCTCACTTGGGACACGCTGAGTCCATCCAGATGGGTAGCTCCCCCTCTCTTCACTCCTCAATTCGCTGGCTTAGACTCGGTCTGCTTTTATCCAGATCTTCAACTAGGGGTTCACCCACATCAACTTAGTGGTCTGCTTGAGCTGACCAGAGAGTGATAAGGCTGCAGCGCGGGCCCAGGACCCACAGAGCTGCGTGGTCCTTGGCTGGGGCCGGGTGTCATGGCCCCTTTGGTGGAGTGTGCTTCTCTCCCTCCACTCCGGGCTCAGAGCCTGGCCTCCAAAGCTGGGCGGCCCCTCCACACTCTTGGTGTATTCATGATTGGCAGGGAAGGGAAAGTCCCTGCCTGTACCTCCGACCTCACTTTACCTCTAGTCAAAGAGAGGAAGAAGCATGTTACAGTGTGACTCAGTTGTTTTTTCTAAAGAGAGAATGATTTTTTTCTCTCAAAGAAAAAAAAAAGTTTCTTCTTTGTGAGGATGAAGAACTGCTAAATAGTTTTATGAAGGCAGTGGTTTCCTTAGAAACTGTGAATTATCACTGCCTGTTCTTTCTGGCATGTAGTATTTTCTTTAATAGCCTGGCACTAAAATAAGAAAATTGGTTAGCTCCTTACTGAGGGATAGCTAAGTTTATTTTTTTTTTCTTTTGTGTGACTCCCAAACAGGATGGAATTTGAAATAGCTGTTAATTGCTTTTAGCCAATTAATCATTTATTCAGAAAATATTTTCTGAAAACTTTTATGTACAAAGCACTCTGAGGGCTACTAGCGCAAGGCAAGACTTACGTACAACCCAAGGCAGTGTAAGTGTTACCCAAATACATGTTGCAAACCAACCAGTCTGTGAAGGTCTGGCCTACTGTTGCCTCTACTGTTTTTCTTTTCTCTACCAGCACTAGCTAGAAATAAGACAACTAGCAGTGCACTGGGATCTGGATTTTGGTGGCACAAATTCAGCCAGAAAACACGGTATACTTGAACATCTTTGTTGTTAAGTAGGCTGTGTTAATTACCAGCAAAAGAGTGTTGATGTCTTGTCCTGTGCTTAGAGAACATATGAAAACTTCTGTTACTTCTGTTATCTTACTCATATATGTAGCTTTGAAGGCATTAGTTTGTCAGCAATATTATTTGAGTATATGCTTGTATATGAGCCCTGTGTTAAGTATTTTAGAGCCAAGGGAAGAAGGAGACACAATCTTATTTCCTAATAGGGTGATTTTATAATCTAGTTGTCCAGACAAAAATCTGCATACAGAGGAAACGTGAGGAACAGTAGAGCTACTCACGGCCCAGTGCACAGTGATGCCAAACAAGATTCGTGTCCTGAGCGCTCACAGTAGATTGGTCACTGTGGAGGCTTCATTAGGAAAGAAAGGTCTTTTCACTGGGCAGCGAAGGACGTGAGAGCGTATTTCTCAGAACAGTCTTGTTTTCATGACCTGGGTAGGCTGTGTCTGCCTTGCTTGAACGTAACTGCTGTGTTTCGCATTCCCCTCCATCAGAAGTATTTGGGTAGACGAGGTCTCTGAGGTCTCTGGAGGTTCAGGCACATCGTTATTAGAAACCCTCTTCTAAATCCTTTGTCAGAGATATGCTATGGAAGGTCTGCCGCAGTCTCCTGTGTGATTATGCCTCAGAGATCATGTTGACCATCTTCGTCAGAATGTGCTGGTAACCAGGCATCTCCAAAGAGTTGCAAAGCTATAGAGAAGTTCCTTTTCCTCCATGAAGCTTTTCTAAGGATACAGAAGACTCCAACATTCAGGGGTAAAATGGCAGCAGTGATGAGATGTTAGCAGCAGAGTTCCAAACACTTGTAACATTCGGGGTGATGGCAACAGTGGTGAAGTGTTAGAAGCAAAGTTCCAATGTCACATGTATTTCATGAGAACCTCTGTGATCCAAGTTACGTGTTAGGCACTGAATGTTATATATCTAAGAGCCAGACAGAGTTACTGCCTAAGGGAGCTTATCATTCGAGAAAGGTTAAGATGTGGAGAATGAGGGAGCGATTTGAGTCCTTGTTTTGTGTCTGTGCACGTGAGGGGTTGTGTCTGTGAACCTCATTCACCGTTTCACACCAAAGCTGAGTCTGTCTTTCTGCCTGGGTTTGTAACACTTTTCACCTTCTCAGTGCTGTGCCTAATGTTACTAATTCAGCCTGGTTTTGACTTGGATAGAGGCAAGTTATAACCTGTGTGTAGAGCTTCACCTGCTCCTTTATCCTGCGTAAAATGTGGCACCTGGCTGTTACCCTGAGTGCTTAGCTGGCAGCACCGCGTCGTGGATTCCACGATCCCTCACCCACCCCTTTCCATTGCGCTCCCCTTATCTCTGGTTTCCATGTAGATGCTGACATCAGAAGGAACACAGCCTCAAGCAGCAGATCCTTCGTCTCCTCCCAGTCCTTGTGAGTACTTTTTTTTAAAGAAATAAAAAAGGAAAACCTGAGGATATGTAGAGAAACAAACCCAGTTCTTGGCATATGGCTGGGCAAAGCCATCCAGATGAAAGGGAGGCAAGGTTAGAGGGAGGGGCTTGCTGATGGTGGCGAGCCCACGGGAAGAAAGCAGAAGCTCTTTGGTCCCAATGGGATGGGCTTTCGTGGAGGCAAAGCTGGAAGTGAGTGATTCCTTCTCTGCTGACTCTCATCATAACCAGAGGCCCCAGAAGGTCTCAAAAGAGAGCAATGATGATGGTTTTTGGTTATCAAATCAAATTGAACAGATTCCACATCACGGACCCAACCAGGGGAAATAGTAGCTCATTTGGGAGGAAAAATCGCCTTTTAGTCCACAAAGCAATTTTACTCACTTTTTTTTGTAAGCAGGCATTATAATCTCCATTTTGCTGTTAGAGGAGCTGAAGTTAAGAGAAAGGAAGTGACAGAGTCCTTCATTAGCACTGCTGTGTAGTGACAGGAAGTGGGGCTTGAACCACAGTCTTAGGACTGTGAGACCAGCGGACTTTCACTGTCCCCTGTGTGAGGGTGATGAGCAGGCCGGGGTGCTGCGGGTATTCTCCCAGCCCAGAAGTTGCTGTGTGGGGGATGAGATCATGAAGGGAAGCCTCCATCTGCCCATCCTTTCCCTGTGTTCAGCCATCCTTGATTCTCCCCTTTGCAGCTCCCACGGCTTCCTGCACTCCACATCTGCTGAGGCGGTGGCCATGGGGCTCCTGAAGCAGTTTGAGGGGATGCAGCTTCCAGCTGCCTCAGAGCTGGAGTGGCTCGTCCCGGAGCACGACGCCCCTCAGAAGGTAGGTCCTTGGCTCTTCTTCCTACCCAGGGGCTGAGAGCCTTTGTGACCTTGTTTTCCTTCGTCACACGTCCCCAGTCTGGAATGAGCCTGTGTGTTCCCCGCCTTACTCATGGAAGCCATTTATTACAGTGGCTCAGGTGATAAATGAACAGTGAATGCTTGCTCGCCTTGTCAGAGTGGAGATGACGGCTCCTTCGCCGTCCTTATTCACGTGACTGCTCGCCAGACTCAGTCACGTTTGGTTTCTGACCAGCTCGGAGACGCTGCGCAAAAGTGAATTGCTTGGATTCTTTGCTCTGCAGTTGTCTTTAAGGCGTGAAACACCCTGGCACAGCAAGGGTCCTGGAATGGCGCAGGAACAACATGAGCCGTGGGGCCACTGCCGTGGGAGGCCATTTCTCTTTGCATCTTGGAACCCACAGCCCTCACTTCTAGTACCTTGGCGCCTCCTGGTTGGTTCCGAGGACCAAGGTTACCTGAAGCTCTTATCCTGTGGTGTTCCTGAAATGTCTTTCACTCATGATGCTCTGTCATGGCCGAAAGGGTCCTGCGTTTGTGTGTCCCACGCCTGTCTGTGTGAGCTTACCCCAACTGTGTTTTTCTCCTGCAGCTTCTACCCATCCCTGACTCACTGCCCATCTCACCGGATGACGGGCAGCATGCTGACATCTACAAGCTGCGGATTCGTGTTCGTGGCAACTTGGAGTGGGCCCCCCCCCCGGCCTCAGATAATTTTTAATGTTCATCCCGCCCCAACGTGAGTGGCCAGTGTCTGTGCCCTTGGGAGCACTGATCCGTCCTCTGTGGATTGTCAGGGTTTTCGTCTCTCCCACTTGTCTCTGCCTCCAGCTGTCCTTCCCACACGGTTCTCTTCATTTAAAGGCGGAGGAGGAGGGTTGTCCATTTTGTCCTTCGCTTCTTACTCTTAAGTCCCAGAGCTGACTGGAAACAAGGCGGGTTTTGTTTTGCTGGCATCCCCAACCTGTTGCCTTCCTCCCAGCAGTTTTGTGAGCTTGCTGGTTTTTCTTCTCTAAGATGGATGGATGCTTTTCTCTCCTGTCATTCTTTCCTTTACCACGTGTCATTGCTTACATTGTACAGAATGTGTGGTTCATTCCTGGGGAGAGTCACTGCCTAGACCTAAATCCTGTGTGGAGTTGCCTCTCCCAACAGGTTCAATGTTGTCCAACTGAATCCTAGGTGAATTCCTCTCTCTTCCCATGCTTACCTGGAGCCGTGTGTGTGTGCTCAGTCCCTCACACCTCAAAGGCCTCACGCAGCTGCTATCTGCCAGTGCCCTGTCCTTATCCTTCCTCAGGAGGAAAATTGCCGTGGCCAAGCAGAATTACCGCTGTGCAGGATGTGGCATCCGGACTGACCCTGGTGAGTGCCTTCCCTTCCCACCATGCTGCCTCCAGAGGCTCTGTACCCTCCCCCACATGTAGGGAGAGGTGGCGTGTCAAAGGCGGTACAGGAGGTGGCAGAAGTAGGGAAGGAGAAAGAAAGGTTCGTAGTAGGCAAGAGTGCTGGCGATTGGAGGGAAATGATTTCTGGGAGCACATGGCCAGGCCTGTATACTGTGGAAAGTTGGGTAGTTCCAGCCAGCTGGTAAGGCTGGATCTTACCAACTGCGGCTGGTTTTATTTCCTCAGGGCCTCCAAGGTGGGACATTACCCCAGGCTCCACTCTGTGGATTTCGGCGAGCTCTGGGGAACTCAGACAGAGGTTGCTAGAGGCCATTGGCCGTCCCTTTCCACCCTTTCAAGGGAAGAGCAGAGCCACCTTCCCAGTTTGTAGGTGGGAAAGTTACATCTGGCTTTCCGGCTTTCCGGTTTTTCCAGATTATATCAAGCGACTGCGGTACTGTGAGTACCTGGGCAAGTACTTCTGCCAGTGCTGCCATGAGAATGCACAGATGGTCATCCCCAGCCGGCTTCTGCGCAAGTGGGACTTCAGCAAGTACTACGTCAGCAATTTCTCCAAGGACCTGCTCATTAAGATCTGGAATGATCCTCTCTTCAACGTGCAGGACATAAACAGTGCCCTCTACAGGAAGGTCAAGCTGCTCAATCAAGTCCGGGTAAGACCTTGGAAAGGCCACCTCAGAGTCTTGCCCTTCTCCTCCCCTCGTCTCCTCTCCTCATCTCCTCCCCTTGTCCCTCGTCTCCTCCCACCGTCCCTCGTCTCCTCCCCTCGTCTCCTCTCCTCATCTCCTCCCCTCGTCCCTCGTCTCCTCCCACTGTCCCTCGTCCCCTCCCCTCGTCCCCTCCCCTCGTCCCTCGTCCCCTCCCCTTGTCCCTCGTCCCCTCCCCTCGTCCCTCGTCCCTCGTCCCGTCCCCTCATCTCCTTCCCTCGTCCCTTCCCCTGGTTATACAGGGCTTCCCACAATTACCACACTTCTTGTCGTCGCAGTGTCAAAGCTGTAACCGTCTCCATTCATGCCCTCCCTATGTACTTTCTTAATCTCTTCCCATTTCCCAGGTATCTGTCTAGTTGGAGCCTCAAACCTGGCAATGGCAGCTATGAAGCTGTAGATAGCACTCGATGGCAAAAGCAGAATTTCTTCCTTCACTGAAAACATGAGTGAATGAATGAGGAATAGGGCATCTAGTGAGAAACTGGAATTTCAGAGCGCTCCTCTGCCCCAGGCTGCTTATGTGACTTGGGCAGACAGACCTGGCGGAGGGGCCTTCCCTGAGCAGAGAGCACTCTGAAGCCAGTTGTCAGAGTGAATCAGAGTGAGTTAGAGCATAGGACAGCCTGCTGTGGCTGCAGCATGCAAGGCTTCTGGACCCCCAGGGTTTAAAGGCCCTGGGCTTCCAGCATTGGATTCCTCTTCTCACATCCCCCTCCCACTCCTGCCCACACCCCTTTCTTTTCAGCTGCTGCGGGTCCAGCTATGTCACATGAAGAACATGTTCAAGACTTGCCGACTGGCCAAGGAGTAAGTCCTTTGTGGAGCCAGAGCCCTCTGGCCACGTTGCTGTCTCCAAAAGGGACACATCCCAGCACTCGGCTCTTGTTATGTAACGGAGGAGACTAGAGAGATTTTGCAGAAATGTAAAGTGGTAAACGAGAGGCCACAGCGGTAACTGTATCTGTGTCCTTCTCTCTGGAGGGGGAATCTGTGGTCATTCCATCCAGGGCAGGCCACTGCTCTTAGCAGGCTGGATCCCACGTGGAGCACTGCAGGAGTCTGTAGTCACTTCTGCCGTCCAGACACCTAGAAGTGTGGAACGGCTGGGGTGGCCTGGAACACTGGGCTGGCTGATCGTTGCCCACCCTTGTTACTTTCTGCAGTTTCTGGATAGGGATCCTTCTACTACAACGTGGCGCACGCACTGTTCATTCCCTCCCCTGCCTCCTGTCACTCCCCGTAGGCTTCTGGATTCCTTTGACACAGTCCCGGGCCACCTGACAGAGGACCTCCACCTGTACTCACTGAATGATCTGACGGCGACCAGGAAGGGGGAGCTGGGGCCCCGGCTTGCTGAGCTCACCAGGGCAGGGGCTGCCCATGTGGAGAGATGCATGGTGAGAAGGCCTCACTGTGGCATGCAGCTGAGCCCTTGCTTTTAGGGATACAGGGAGTGGGGTGACCTGGGGTTCTGGCCACTTAGCTTGAGGAAGTTGAAGCGGCCAGTCAGCACTGGGAGAGGAACTGGAAAGGGCTGCTGTTCCTTAGCCTGGAGAGCAGCCAGAGCAGCCCGATCTAAAGAACCTCGAGTGAGGGGAGGAGCTGGTGCTGGCTGTGGCCCTGGGTAGCTCTGGTGCTGGCTGTGGCCCTGGGTAGCTCTGG